TGGCCCAGCCAAATTCAGATTTCATGGGGAAGAGTCCCGCAGCTCAGTGAAACTCTACTACTGCAGTGTAAAGTGTCCCACTTTGCAGTCCAGTCAAGCTCTACTACTGCAGTGTAAAGTGTTCCAGTTTGCAGTCCAGTCAAGCTCTACTTCTACAGTGTAACGTTTCTCAGTTTGCAACCCAGTAAAACTACTACTGCAGTGTAAAGTGTCCTGGTTTGCAGCCCGGTCAAACTCTACTACTGCAGTATAAAGTGTCCCTGTTTGCAGCCCAGTCAAACTCTACTACTGCAGTGTAAAGTGTCCCAGTTTGCAGCTCAGTGAAACTCTACTACTGCAGTGTAAAGTATCCAATGTGCAGTCCAGTCAAGCTCTACTACCGCAGTGTAAAATGTCCTGGTTTGCAGCCCAGTCAAACTCTACTGCTGCACTGTAACATGTCTCAGTTTGCAGCCCAGTAAAACTCTACTACTGCAGTGTAAAGTGTCCCACTTTGCAGTCCAGTCAAGCTCTACTACTTCAGTGTAACATGTCTCAGTTTGCAGCCTGGCCAAACTCTACTACTGTAGTGTAAAGTGTCCTGGTTTGAAGCCCAGTCAAGCTCCACTACTGCTGTGTAGTGTCCCAGTTTGCAGCCCAGTAAAGCTCTGCTACTGCAGTGTAAAGTGTCTCAGTTTGCAGTCCAGTCAAGCTCTACTACTGCAGTGTAAAGTGTCCTGGTTTGCAGCCCAGTCAAACTGTACTACTGGAGTGTAAATTGTCCCGGGTTGCACCCTGGTCAAACTCTACTACTGCAGTGTAAAGTGTCCAGTTTGCAGCTCAGTGAAACTCTACTACTGCAGTGTAAATTATCCCAGTTTGCAGTCCAGTCAAGCCCTACCACTGCAGTGTAAAGTGTCCTGGTTTGAAGCCCAGTCAAACTCTACTGCTGCAGTATAAAGTGTCCCAGTTTGCAGTCTGATCAAGCTCTACAACTGCAGTGTAAAGTGTCCCGGTTTGCAGTCCAGTCAAGCTCTACTACTGCACTGTAATGTGTCTCAATTTGCAGCCCAGTCAAACTCTACTACTGCAGTGCAAAGTGTCCCTGTTTGCAGTTCAGTCAAGCTCTACTACTGCAGTGTAACATGTCTCAGTTTGCAGTCCAGTAAAACTCTACTACTGCAGTGTAAATTGTCCTGGTTTGCAGCCCAGTCAAACTGTACTACTGCAGTGTAAAGTGTCTTGGTTTGCAGCCTGGTCAAACTCTACTACTGTGGGGTAAAGTGTCTTGACTTGTTCTCAGTGAACTTTTGAAAAACTGGGCCAGCAGTGAAACTTTTTTTTTAATTATTGTTATTATCAGAGAACGCAGCATATAAGACACAACACAAACTGTGAATTTTAATGAGAAACCATCAAACACTTCCAAAACAGTCGGAATAAGATTCTCCACTACAGCACACTAATATACTAACACTGTGTATGTGTGTATGTGTGTGTAGTATATTTGAGCGCTGGCTGAGGAAGCATCAGCCCCCCCGCTCTCACTACCCAGTAAGCAACGCTCCCATTGGACACAACGACGGATACTACATGGTGCCCTTCATTCCCCTCTACAGGAATGGAGACTACTTCCTGGGAACAAAAGCTCTGGGATACGAATACGCCTACCTGCTGGACCCCAGTGAGTAACATACACACATATACACTTTAGCTTAAGTAGAATAATTAATAATTGGTTGCCTTATGTTGCCTAATAAAGTGCTTCTCGGTCTGCTGTATCTGCTGTGCAGTCATCCTGAAGTTTTTGTGGAGTCTACAATCTCTCACGTTCTCCTCTGCAGGTCAGCGGTTCATGCAGGAGTTTCTGACTCCATACCTGCAGCATGTGCAGCAGATCTGGCCATGGTTGGTGGGGGCCGGCGTGCTGGGGGCTGTCCTCGCTGCCATCATCACCACCCTCATCATCTTCACCTGCTACAGAGGAGCGAAGAACCAGAAACGATCACCCTATGGAGAGAGACAGCCGCTACTGCACAGCAGCGACGAGGAGGCTACGGCGTCATACCAGACTACACTGTAAACACACACACACACACAGGTGTGTGTCAGGGAGGTCAGTCACAGCTGCAGGACGTCGAGCTGCTCTCCATCAGCCTGTCCAGGAGAGGTCACATCACCTCCTGCAGGCCAATAACAGCAGAGAGCCCATTCACATGAAGCCCCCAAACTCCATGCAGCCAACGAGAACAAAAGACTGGTGCTTTCATTGTATTGATCTCTGTACTGTGCATCAATCTCATTTATTCTGTTCTGGAGTTAAATGGATGTTTATAAGATGAATTAAACCATATTAATATATCTTGATTACATGTATATGTGTGTATATGTTAGTCTTTAACTGTGCAATTATTTAAACAGAACAGAAACACATTTAAAAAAACGTAGTTGTTGAACCCACTGAGCTCATTCTCTCTAGATCTGTTCATATCTTCTTAAACTCTCCTTTAAAGGCTCTTCATATAACATGATCCTCATATGTTTCATATCAAAATGCTCCGTAATCTTCATCACTACTTTCCAAAACCGCTGCAGCAACTTTAGCAGCTGTAAACTCTCTGCACGCCATTTCACATGAGTCTCCGATGTGGGCTGAATGAAGAATGAAGGGTTTCCGGCGTGATGGTCAGTCCTTAGTGATTTCCTGAGTGTCCATCGGACAGCTTCACACAGAATGTAGATGGACACACCAATCCACCAGCTCTACACGGTGAGAGGCAGATGACGTGTATCTCAGCCCCTCTTCATAGGCTCATAACTCCGGATGTGAGTCTCGTATGATCTCGTGATAAGATGGAATGGAAAGGGCGACTCTACAGATTCAGGAAGTGTTTGAACTGGATTTCTGTGCTGGATCATCACAAAGATACACAAACAGAAAATTTGATGCATGGGTGAGTTTGTGGACCCCAGAGGTTAACCATCCACCGTATAATAAAATTTACCACTGCTGTGCTCACTTTGCTAAATGTACAGACAATGAGAAATATAAATACAACACCATTTATAAAAAAGTTGAGATGCTGTGCAGAATATAAATAAAAACAAAAAGTAGTGATGTGCAAATTATTTAAAACCTGTATTTGATTGAACATAGTACAAAGACAACACATCAAATGTTGAAACTGAGAAATTGTATTGTTTTTTCAAAAATATATGCCCATGTTGAATTTGATGGCAACAACATGTTTAAAAAAAAAAGTTGGGGCGGGGGCAACAAGTGGTAATTGGCAACAAGTTTGTCGCTGCATCCACAAATGCAAGTTAAAGCTCTACAATGCAAAGAAGAAACTGTACATAAACAGGATCTAGAAATGCTGCCGCCTTCTCTGGGCCTGAGCTCATTTAAAATGGGCTGAGGTGAAGTGGAAATGTTGTTAAAAGAAAAGTTGATGAAACACAGTGGTAAAAATGCCCCGTCCCAACTTTGTTGGAATGTGTTGATGGCATCAAATTCAAAATGTGATATTTTTCAAAAACAATAAAATTTCTCAGTTTCAACATTTGATATGTTTTCTTGGTAGTATTTTCTTTTAAAATATGGTTTACTTGATTTGCAGATCATTGCATTCAATTTTTATTAACATTCTGCACAGCAAAGGGGTTGCAAAACAGAAATAGTGGGAATTTAACAGAAAGTGTGAAACTGGCATGAATGTGACTGTAGCTATGTGTACAGCACATGACAACAGAATGTGTCAAAACTCTAAAAAAGAGAACTGTAGGGAGAGTATTTTACTCTCCCTATATTTTTATTGGTTAGAGGGAACCTGAGTGTTATTTTTTACTGTAGTGTTTATATAAAAAAGCAAAAGACTAAACTCAGACTTTTCATGTATACCAACAACAGGGTATGTATATATATATACACTGATTGATTTCCTGTTATGTATGCACTGAGTGAAGAAACCACCCTGATACCTGCAGGTTACTTAAATATTACATTCATACATTTCATTTATAATAACATAATTTCTGGGTCAGTACATAAACTCAATACAGAAATATAACATGACGGTTCCCCTCCACCAATATTTATCCATTTTATGAAGAACTCTGACATGAGCCAGCCAACCCCATGTAGAAGAACCACATTAATTTAGTCATGGCTACACAAAATGTAGGAAATATTTTCTGAAATTAAAAGATTTTTAATGAAGAAGTTCAGCTTTCATTTGCTGCTAGTTGGGTTCTCCTGGTGTTTGGTATGTCTGGGATGTATGCAGTGTGTGGATTTTGATTTTGAGACATTTAGGGGGGTTCAGACACTCCATGCCCATCTGTTTTTCACACATCGTAAATATGGCAGAGAGGAGATTTTGTGTTTTGCACATCTCTGATGTGTGTACTGTAAATTCTGTCCAAGCCAGAATGTGTAACTTTAGCTAGAACACTGTCATATCCTGTTCTCATGCACAGACACACAGCAATCAAATCATAACTCCAACTTTTTATTGGATTGTTCTGATAAATAAGGCTCAAATCTTCAGCCTCTATGAGATAAATGTGAAATCAGTCCAGTAGAAATCTCCCAGTCAGTTCTCTGCAGTATTTCAGATTAAAAAATGTCCATATCCAGATTCAGTGTTAGTGTGTATTAAAGCAGGATTTCCACCTGAAGTTCAGAGCATCCTCTTTGGTTTTAACTGTTCGAGAGATGATGTTGGACAAAACTGTTTAATATGTAAACAGCAGAGCATCTCGTATCCCATTGTACTGATGAGATGACAAAAGAAAAAAAGAATAAAAAGGAAAAATGATGAAGTTCTTAAATAAATCATATCCTTAAATAAGCGTCTGGTGATCCATTGTAATCCACTAGATCACCTTCAGAGGAAACATGTCACTTGCAACTATATCAGCATAAATAAACTCACTTCTTTCTTTCTTTCTTTCTGTGTTTCTTCTTTGGATCAGTCACATTCGGTAAAAGTTTGTTTTCTTTCTTTCTGTGTTTGTTCTTCTTTCTTTCTCCCTCTGTTCTCTTCCTGCTGATGGAGGTGAAGCTGGTTTTATTTGCTGCCATTCTGTCAGTTTGTTCGTCTCAGCTAAACGACTCTTTGTTGTACTCAAACACGGTTCCTGATGTGGAGAACGAGTTGCAGAGTTTGTGTAACTCTCTGGAGACACCTTTAGGACCGCAGCAGAACACGCCCACCTTCTTACTGCAAAACAAACACAAACAAACACCATCAGCTTCACACTTCACAGACAGTTCTTTAAGGGTTCTTTAGTAAAGACAGTGATTCTATATAGAACCATGAACCCTCATAGATCCATGCGCATGCTTAAATGGCTCTTTGCAGGGTTCTATACAAAACATTTTTCAATATGGTTCATATGGTAGAGTTCAGGTTTGACATTGTAACAACTGCCGATCCTTTTTGGAGTTATTATAGAACCATTTTCAAATAGGTTCAATATAATCCATTTATAATGATTCTCCATCAATCTGAACAACAGGAAATAGCATAAAACCCTCATCTGTGGGATCCGGCCCAATCTGGCAACAGTTGGTAAATCATTCCAAGCACTCACTGCTGATTGAATCGTCCTATCTCCTGAAAAAGGAGCTTCCACCTGGGTCGACCAATCACGAGGCGGGAGTTGAGGGGTTGATACTTTTCCTCTGTCAGGTTCTGCAGAGAAAAAGAGTTCCTTTATGGGAAGATCAGTGACATCAAATGTTCTTTAATCAAACTGATCAATTTAATTAAACTGATCAATTTAATCAAACTCAGCTGTGTGTTCACTTCACTGACAGTTCAGACAGAATTTAAAGAAGAAAGTTTTTTACACACCCAGCAGAAAGCAGTGTGTGTGTGTGTGTGTGTCTGTGTCTGTGTTTACCTGTAGTTCGTGTGTGTTGGTGAGGAAGAGACGAATATTTAGATAATCGGGACGATTTTCCTCCCACAGCTACAGAGAGAGAGAGAGAGAGAGAGAGAGAGGGAGGGAGTGTGTGAGAGAGAGAGAGAGTGAGAAAGAGAGAGAGAGCAAGAGAGAGAGAGAGAGAGACGAGAGAGAGAGAGAGAGAGAGAGAGAGAGACAGAGAGATATAGCAGAGAGAGTCCACTGTGTGCTTATATGTACAGCTGCATTATTAAACCAATCAGCAGAGGGTGCTGTAGGCCAACACAGACACACTCAGTTACCACCGTTCACACTCAGTTTTGCTAGTGTTCAGAAAGTGCACTCATCTCTCTGCTCTACATTCACAACGTACACAGTGAGGAGTAAAACTAAAATATTCATGATACAGTTTCAAATATTCTGCTTTTCACTCAGATTATTAAAACTTCAAAAAGAAATTAAGTTTGTACGAAGAATGTAAAATAGGAGCATATTTAAACATAAGTGTTGTATATCTGTGTGTGTGTGTGTGTGTGTGTGTGTGTGTTACCTTGTGATGGAGGCCACACAGCAGTTCAGCAAACCAGTACAAACACTGTAGGTCTCTGCACACCCACACAAAATACAGCCTCTGCAGCTTATACTGATGCCAGCCATCACTACAGGAGACACACACAGAGAACTAACACAGGCAACACACACAGGTAAAGAAATGGGTAATCTAACACAGGCAAATACACACAGGTAAAAAAAAAACAGGGAATCTCACACAGGCAAACACACAGGTAAAGAAACAGAGATAATCTAACACAGACAAACACACAAGTAAAGAAACAGAGATAATCTAACACAGGCAAACACACAGGTAAAGAAACAGAGATAATCTAACACAGGCAAACACACAGGTAAAGAAACAGAGATAATCTAACACAGGCAAACACACAGGTAAAGAAACAGAGATAATCTAACACAGGCAAACACACAGGTAAATAAACAGAGATAATCTAACACAGGCAAACACACAGGTAAAGAAACAGAGATAATCTAACACAGGCAAACACACAGGTAAAGAAACAGAGATATTCTAACACAGGTAAACACACAGGTAAAGAAATAGAGATAATCTAACACATGCAAACACACAGGTAAAGAAACAGGTAATCTAAAACAGGAAAACAGACACAGGTAAAGAAATGGGTAATCTAACACAGGCAAACACACAGGTAAAAAAACAGGGAATCTCACACAGGCAAACACAGGTAAAGACACAGAAATAATCTAAAACAGGTAAACACACAGGTAAAGAAATAGAGATAATCTAACACATGCAAACACACAGGTAAAGAAACAGGTAATATAAAACAGGAAAACACACACAGGTAAAGAAAAAGAGATAATCTAACACAGGCAAACACACAGGTAAAGAAACAGGTAATATAACACAGGAAAACACACACAGGTAAAGAAACAGGTAATATAACACAGGAAAACACACACAGGTAAAGAAAAAGAGATAATCTAACACAGGCAAACACACAGGTAAAGAAACAGGTAATATAAAACAGGAAAACACACACACAGGTAAAGAAAAAGAGATAATCTAACACAGGCAAACACACAGGTAAAGAAACAGGTAATATAAAACAGGAAAGCACACACAGGTAAAGAAAAAGAGATAATCTAACACAGGCAAACACACAGGTAAAGAAACAGAATGAATCTATCACAGGTAAATCCATGCAGGTAATGAAAAAGAGGTAATCTAACACAGGAAAACACACAGGTAAAAAAAACAGAAGGAATCTATTACAGGTAAACACACACAGATAAAGAAACAGAGAGAATCTAACACAGGTAAATTCACAGAAGTAAACTAGCACAGGTAAAGAAACACAGTTACATGCACAGAGGTAAACTAACAGATAAAAAACACAAGCAAACACACAGAGGTAAACTGATGCAGGTAAAGAAATACAAGAAATGCACAGATGTAAAGTAACACATGTAAATAAACACAGGTAAATGCCCAAAGGTAAACTAACACAGAAGTAAAGAAACCCCAACAAATAAACAGACATAAACTAACAGGTATAAAAAAAGAAACAAAATCAAACTAACCCAGGTAAAGAAATAGGTACACATATACGTGTATACAGTGTATGAAATCCCCCCTGGTATTTGGGGTCCCGTGCTGTCTGGCTGCTAACTCACTCACCATACTGGCGCTGATGCTTCAATGGCAGTAAAATGTTTGTTTTATCAGTTGTTCTTCTGTAAACGCTCTGTTCTAGTTTGGTAAGGCGCTTTCCTCACACTAACTGAGATCTTACTCATCTCCTCAGGGACCCTCCAGAATTTTGATTTTGAGAACTTCCAAGAGGAATTCAAGAGCTTTATTAGGGGGTCCTAGACCCCCAGGACCCCCTGTATTCTGCACCTTACATGTACAGTTAAATAACCAGGTGTATTGTAATACTCACAGCAGAGCGTGCAGGATGCTGGCGAAAGGTGTAACTCCGATTCCTCCGGCCACACACACACTCACTTCATAATTAAACACTTCCTCTGATGGAGTGCCGAATGGACCGTCCACATACAGCCTGGGGCGGGACAACATGAGACAGGACCAATCAGCACACAGCATATAACAGCCAATCAGTCAACCAATGTTGAATATTTTTTTTTCCATAGTAACGAATGGCAGAATGCTCACCATCATGAAACTTAATCATTTTTATAAACCTCTTATTCTACCCTATTATATTACAAACTTCACCATAACAACAGTTTAGCAAATACTATCATCAAAAAATACCCTAGCCTATCAACCACCTGGGACACCATAGCAACCACCTAGCAGCGTCCTATCAACCATACAGCCATAATAACCAACCAACACCCTTGCGATCATGCACAATACCACCATAGCAATTAAACAGCAATATCCTATAAACCACCAAATATACCATCACAACCACCTAACAACTCCAAAGTAACCACCTCCAATACTGTAGCAACCACATAGCAACCAGCTGGAATACTATCAGAGTTACCATAGCAACACTAAACAACACCAGAGTAACCTGAGTAATCTTAGAAAAAGCTGTAACCCAATCAGCTTAGTTCATATCCACATAAGAACCACATATATCAAAAATTCCAATCTGGATTCAGACCACAGTGGAGCGGAGGGATGCCAAATTGTTTCAGGGTGCTCCCGTATCTGTGTGCCCTTTTGGTTCTCTCCTTTTAGTTAAGCTGTTATAGTCAGATCTCCTGGAGTCGTTAGCCACACTCTGGAAATGATTTACTTATTATTATACATACACCCATACAGAACTAAACTAACTCCATCTCCCTACCTTTTTCCGAGTAAACGACTGCCCACCTGTCCGGCCGGACACTGATGGACGATTGTCTGTCAAGCTCTCCTGCTACCCGCTCCAGACCAGTTGCCCACGCCCCAGTCACCGCCACTTGCCCAGCTACCGCCACCTGCCTTGGACTAGCTGCCCACCCTACACTGAAGTGGACTCCTAACTATTACTACTACTACTACTACTACTACTATTAATATTAGTAGTATAATAATTTTGTAGGTAGTTTGACCAGAGGAGGATGGGTCCCCGCTTGTGAGCCTTGGTTCCTCCCAAGGTTTCTTCCTCAGCTCTGAGGGAGTTTTTCCTTGCCACTGTCGCCCCTGGCTTGCTCACCTGGAGGATTTACATTTCATGTTAAAACTTTGTTCTAAACGGATTTCTGTGAAGCTGCTTTGTGACAACATCAGTTGTAAAAAGCACTATACAAATAAATTTGACTTGACTTGACCCTAGCAACCACCTGCCAACAGCCTCACAACTAGCAATACACAGTAACTGCCTAATTACTTAACACCTAGACAAAGCCGGAGAATTCCCAAAGCAGCGCATCAGGAATTTCACCTCTGTAGCTCTGAATTTGCCTGTTTCACTTTACCCTGCGGCTGCTGGGTGGGTTTACCAGCTGATTTACCCCCCCACCCCACTGTCAATCAGTGTGTATTATTACATTACATCACATTATTAATGTGTTATATAACTTTACAGTCTATCAGCACTCAGCAAACAAATCACACTACAGTCAACCAGCAGAGGGACAGACACCACAGGACACCACAGTGACATCATCTTAACAATGTCCTCTCACAGGGTGTGACATCATCTTAATCCCCTCTCACAGGATACTGTAACAAAAAATCTTAAAAAAACAATAATAGAAGCCAAAGGAAGAAAACACACACACACACAAACACAGACGCTGATACACATACACACACACATACACACACACTGATACACACACACACACAAACACACACACATAAACACACACACATGCATACTCACACCCACACAAACACATACACACACTCACACACACACACACACACTGATACACACACACAAACACACACACACTGATACACACGCACACACACAGTTCTCATATTTTGATCTCAGGGGGCAGTAGAGGTCAGCAAGTCATGACCTGTCACCTCTCTGTAATTCCACACTGTCACAGACAATAATGTCAACCGCACACACACGCACACACACACACACACACACACACAGGGACATACTTGGGGTATCTGCGCTGATGCATCATGGGAAGAATCTCTGAATGTTCCATCTCAGGAAACAGCAGCTGGGAAAAACACTCTAACAGAGAGAGAGAGAGAGAGAGAGAGAGAGAGAGAGAGAGAGAGAGTTTGAAAACACTTTTATTGAGACAATCAAAAAACTACAACCCTAACAAAAAAGATCACTCAGAATCTCACTTAGGATCTGCATATTAGAGAAAAGATAAAAAATAAGAAAGAGGAAAAAACAGTGCAGACAATCAGGCTGTCAACCATAAATTGCCTCCTTCATCAGCTGTACAGAGGACTTCATTTATTCCCCAAATGCTCATGAATTCTGCCAGTTTATGTACCTCCATTCTCAGCCATCAAACCCAAGAACACAGCTAGCACACTCACCACTCCCTGACCAACATATGGTTCTTTCCCATCTTCCAGATGGTTAGATTTGCTGTACCAAATAAAAACATCAGCAACACTGAGACAGTTTTCCACACTGCTGTTTATTTAGGCCCAAAAATAAACAGCTGAAAGGAGAAAACCTCCCCCGACGACTAAAACCACTCAGTTAACGAGGAGAACAGATCACCCAGCCAAGCACACAAACAGGTAACAAAGGGATTCAGTCTCAGAACAAAAGAAATAACCCTCCCCAACACCTGGATCGAGGTGCACCCGATGTCTATTGCCCCAGGCACAATCCTCCATCAGAGGTCTGCCCTCCATTTAACAACTGGGCACTTATACAGGACCCACCAGCAGCCTTTGGGGGAGAAGTTGGTGCCAAAGATCTCAGACCACCTGGTAGATATAACTCCTTCTAGAAAGCGGGTACCCCATCATCCCCACCGGTCCCTGACCTACACATCGAGCCTCACTCTTATCCCAGTGAACTTTGGCAGAAGAAGCCTTCTCATACAAATTGAGGAACCTGGACATCTCGACTGTTTTTGCTAAAAATTGTTACATCGTTGATATAGGCAGAAAGCACAGCTCCTGGACCCTTGAGTCCTCGTGTAGCAAGAAAGCCAGCTAGTCTCTTCCAAAGTCAACCAAGTAGCGATTTCACAGCTAAACTATATAGTTGACCTGATTGAGGACAGCCTTGCCTAATACCCCTTGTAACTGGGGTTGGTCTGCTCAACCTACCCCCCACTTTGACCATACATGCAGCACTAAATGCCAAAAGCCTAAAGCACATTTAAAAGGTTCTGATGATCAACACGATCAAAGGCCTTCTCTTGATCAAGAGAAACCAGCCCAACACTTTCATCATAACCCTTACAGCAATCCAATACATCTCGCACAAGGAACAGGTTGTCCATTATTGATCTATGAGGAATGCAGTAAGTCTGGTCCCTGTGCACTATTAAAGAGAGGTAATTCTGAAGCTTATTAGTTAAGAATTTATAGTCTTATAATCCGTAGTTAAAAGAACAACTGGTCTGCAATTCTTATTCTATGCAATAAAGATAACATAGCATGGTGACATGAACCAGGTGAAACCTCTTCACTGACACTTTCAAAGATCACTTCATAAAAATCACCCCAATACAGTCCCAGAAACGCTTATAAAAGTCAGAGGGCAGGCCGTCAATGCCTGGAGACCATCCAGTGTTGAGCTGTCCAACTGCAGCAGTGAGTTCTTACAGAGTCAGATGAGAGTCTAGCTAAGCTCTGGTTTCAGAGTCCAGTTGTGGGAGTCCTTGAAGAAGCTGTGCAACACAGTCAGAGTCACAGAGTTCTGCAGTGTAAAGAGCAGAATAAAAATCCACTGCATGTTTACGCATGTCTGTGATGTCAGTAGATACTCGTCCATCCGGAAGGCGAAGACAGACCCTCTGCTTGTGTTGTGCTACTGAACATTCCAAATGAAACAAAGAAGGCACTCGGAGCATCCATGTCTGCAAGTGTAGTAGAACGGGATCTCACCAGGGCCCCCTTCACCCTCTCACTCAAGTAGGCACTGAGCTCCTTCCTCCTCTGCTGCAACTTCCCCAACATAACAGGGTAATGAGTAGCAGTCAGTCCAAGCTCCAGAGAGCGTATCTCCCTCTCAAGAGCCTGGACAGTCTGCATTGCTCTTCTACTTGAATTAGCAGTGTACTGTTGACAAAACATTCTTATCTGTGCTTTGACAGTTTCCCACCACTGTCTCAAATTTTTAAAAGTACCATTTTCATTCTTCCACCCGTCCCAAAAACACATAAACCTCACAAATCGTCATCATGCAACATCTTCACATTAAAATGCTAATATGAAGGTATTCTAGAAAAACATGACAAGCTCATCATGACAGAAACCAAGTGGAAACCTCAGTGATTCTACCGCTAAAATGTGTAGATACATGTATTCGTTCTAGCCGAGCAGCACTAATTCTGCAGTCACAGACCTCAAACCATGTTTACTGTCTGGCTACAGGATTCTTTACTCTCCCCATGTCCAACAACGTGAACTCTTTCAGGATCTTAGACAAGCACACAGAAGAGTGAAAAGACAGTGAAATATGAAAAACAGAATGAAACTGGAAATTCAATTAAAAACAGGAAACACAGGAAAGTGTGTGTGTTTTAGATGTGTGTGTGTTTGTGTGTTTATGTGGAGGTACTGTGCTGTAGTTATTACTGATCTTCATGTCTTTGTTTATTTTTGACTAAATTAACATATTTAATCAGATGCGTGTGTTTGTTATGTTAAAGGTGAAGTGCTGGTGTGTGTGTGTGTGTGTGTGTGTGTGTTAAGATGTGTGTTTGTGTGTTTAGATGTGTGTGTTTGTTATGGTGAATGTGAAGTGCTTGTGTGTGTGTTCTCACCGGTCCAGTCTCCAACAACTCGAATATGAATTCCAAATGTCTCTTTGTTCTGTGTTGGACACTGAAAACCGAAAACAGAGTGAGTCACACAGAGTACAGTTACAGAGTGAGAGAGAACAGACAGACCCCTGGGGTGGGGTGGGAGGTAACACTGTCTGCCAACAGGAGATCAGAGTGTGTGTGTGTGTGTGTGTGTGTCTGAAGCACGATTACATCATCTACAAACACAATCACAGTGTGTGTCTCAGCCTCTTTTGGAAAATGTAGTAAAAGTGTACAAACATTGGTTTAACACTCTTTTTTATACATCAAAAAGTGCAATATTTTGATTAAAATCAAGTAAAATAGAGTTTTGGGTGGAGGTCAGTGTTATTACTGTGTTATTGTTATATGTTATTGTCAGTATCCACATCAGTAAATGGTAGCTGTTACAAGTAAATTCCGAGCAGCCAGCAGAGGGCACTCTGGGGATTCCCAGCACTGACAAGCTTAAAAAAGGACACTAAGTTCTCAACTGTAATTAACCATGATTTCCATACCAGGCTGAAAATAATAATCGCATGTTTGCATTTATCAGCAACATATCATGCATCCCTAGACAATTACAGTGTCTATCTGTTGAAAATATTGTTGAAAAACATTTATTTTAACATTTTCTTCCCCAAAACAATGAACGTAATACAGTTACAAACACAGCACAAATGTCCAAATTCTCTTAGAGGTGATTTGAAAGTCACATAGACTCACCGCAGTTAGAGTGAACGCATGGTTCTCAAAGGATGACACACTCGGGCAGTTCAGTAAGATGTACTGAGAACACAAACACACACACACAAACACACACAACACACGAACACACACACAACACACAAACACACACATGTATACAGTTAGAATTTTACCCAAATCAGATCATTGAAGTTCAATAGTTCAGCAAAACACCTGATTCTCCCAGTTTCCTCCCTTTCAACAAATACAGTCAACATGTTTGGTGTAAAAAACTCTAAAAAATGGTTCTTCAAGGGTTCTTTATTAAACGCAATGCTTCTATTTCTATTTGGAACCATGTGTGTTATATAGAAACATTTGCAAATGGTGGTGGAATGGTTCTTCAGATTAATAGAGAATATGCTGTACAGTATTTGGGTTTCTATAGCACCAAAAAGTGTTCAAGCTTGACATCATAACAATAGCAGAACCCTTTTTGGTGCTATAAAGAACTATTTTCAAAAAGGCTCCAGATCAAACCATTTACAACACATTTTTCATCATGTGAAGAACAATTCCACTATGCAAACAACCATTTAAGCATGAAAAGGCTCTACATAGAACTCATAGTTCTAAGTGGAACCATTCCCTTTACTAAAGAGCCTTGGAAGATTCATCTTTTTTAAGAGTGTAGCACTATGAGGCTAATGTAGCTAACAAGTAATGGAAGTTTATACTCCACCAATTAGCATGATGCTAACTACACACCTAAATGGTCACACACTTTTCTCAAACATGTTGGTGAAACTGGTTTCCTATTCTCCAGCTTCTTATTTTCTTTACTCATTTTCCAGAAAATAGCCACTGGCCCATTAACAGTGGAACGAAAACTTCAAATAAGGATCTGGGAAACCCGAAGCCATCTTCAGCCTCATAGCATGCAGAGGTGTTCAGTATTTCTAATAGACTTGATAATGTGGTTTCTGACACTGTATGACTCACTGTTATCTATAAAGATGGAGTAAAGTACATTAGAATGTCTAAAAACAATAGCAACCACCTGGAAGGCAGAGTTTTCTGCTTTGCTGAACTGTTAACTCGACTCAGCCGAGAGCGCTGCAGCAAATAAACGGTAGTTAGTTCTACGTGGTAAGTTGGTGAAGCTCACCTGTCCAGGCCGAGCCTTAAACCCACTCTTCAGCATGCGCACCTCGATGACATCACAGGGGTGCCTAACGACGGAAACTACAGTGACCGGAGCGCTGCCCCTGATACAGCGATACAGCCTTTCCACACAGTACAGGCAGAGCGGGGCCGACACCCACAGCCACGTCTACACACACACATAAAAAACAAACACAAATGTCCAGCAAACCTCACTCACCACTTACACACATTTAAACTGACTCTACAGCATAAAGAGGACATTTTACAGGTTTCAGACCTACAAAGTGAGGACCTGACATCCGATTAGCTGAAATACTTAAGAAATGATATGAAAGTAATGTAGAGAGACCAAATGACCCCATATGAGAGCAGCTCTGTGGTCAGAAACTGACCATTCATGAAGAGCGAGAGAACCGCTAAGACAAACTGTGCGCTAACAGTCTCTGACTGTACTCCAGCATGATGGAGCTATGAGGTGGGGGTTTCTGATAAAGTGGGCCACATAACATATAAAACACATTATTAAACAAACCTGAGGAAAGTGAGGCTGAAAGTGAGCGTCTTCCCTGCACACAATTATTGAAGTTTCCTTTGACCCCTCCTCTGTTTCTCCCTCTGGCTCCTGATTGGACCACATGTCTGAGCTTGCTTTTGTTTGATTGACCCATATGCAGCCAGGTGGGTGGGCTTCCACATTTGACTGGTACTTTACAGCCCCTCTGTAAAGCAGGGAAATATTACATGTGCACGTAATATTAATATATATATATATATATATATATATATATATATATATATATATATATATTCCACTGTCAGTTAAGAATGTTTTTCCTTCTCTGTAAAGTTCTGGAGATACGAGGTTTATATACGTGTGTGTGAAGGAGAGAGAGAGTGTGTGTTTCGGTGAACGTACCCGACCACGTGCACCATCAGTATAACGTAGAAGAGGATGAAAAGGTTGTGAGTGTACCAGAAAATCTCATAGTTACAAACCCTGCAGAGACAGAAACCAACACAGAGCCCAACGTTTAGTATGGAGTCCATATTAAACTGAACTCACAACTCAGTAAGCAGCTCATCAGGACAAAAGCAGAGGAGAAAGACTGAAACTGCAAATCTGGCAACGCTGCATGTCAGGAAAAGAACTTGTAAGTGAAACACATGCGTGTGGAAAACGAGCAGTGTTTCTGGTTGCCGTAGCGATGCTGCAGCTTAAAATCCTGCTGTTAGTGCAGTTTGACTGTAGCAGCTGTTTTCTGTTCTATGTTGTTTCACTGTTTCAGGAGCTGCATCGTCATACAAGTTTTCATAGAAACTACAGATGATGTTCTATTCCGAAGTTTCGCCGCTGACGCAGGACTATAAAAGCCCACAGAGCTGCCGACCTCAGTTTTTTGTTGAGCGACAATATAAATCAGTATTTATAGTGAAGGTGAATCTAGCCATCATTCACTGTGTTCAGCTTAGCTCAGGAAGGCCTGAGTCAGACTATCGCTGACGGCCGAGGAGGCGAGACGTAGCTGAGCCTAGAGCGAAATGTTAGACCAAAACCTTGTTTGTTCAGCGTGGCTGGGGCCGAGTACAGCCTTTAATAAAGCACAGAGACGTGTGCAGTAAACTGTGGTTCTTTAAAAGCGCTGAACGCTACGTTATTTTAACCTCCTCTTATGTGTGTAATATAGCAGCGTTACAGATAAACAGCTCAGCCAGCCAGGCTAAAGTAGAGCCTAAACTAGGGGGTCGTCTAGTTTAACACACTGTTACAGCTAAGACCCCCAATAGTACACAATCAGTCCATATCCCCTCATATACATTCATAAAAAGATTGTTTTAACTTTCTTTTCACAGATTCATCAGAAATCGATGTCATGTGAACAAAATATATTTCAGTTTTATCACTCTGATATTCGCTGTTCTACTTTGTGTTCTAGAATACACTTTCCAGTGTTTGACTCTGAGCTACTGTTTATGTATTTAGGTTGGAAATCGCATCTGATTTAATTGTAAAATTATGTTGAATTAATTTCATTGTTTACGTTTTTGCTGTTTTTGTTTTTACATTAAAACTTACAGAGAAGTCTCAACAGATTCCAACCTGTATACTGAATGGGCATGTAATGTAAATGTACTTACACTTTAAAAAAGGTTTTTAAAGAGTTCTTTAGTAAAGACAGTGGTTCTATGTAGAACAATTAACTCTCAAAGAACCATTTGCATGATTAAATGGTTCTCTGCATGGCAGAATCGTTCTTCAGATTAATGGAGAATGTGTGGTATGTGGTTCTATACAGGCACCAAAAAGCATTCTACTGTTACAAGCTTGACATTGTACACAACAGAAAAACTGTTGCTATATACAACTATTTTCAAAAAGGTTCCATATAGAACCATATACAACATGTTCTCCATCAATCTGAAGAACCATGTCACCAGTCAAAGAAGTATTTAAGCATGCAAATGGTTCCTTGAGTGTTTATGGCTCTATATAGAACCAGTGTCTTTACTAAAGAACCCTTGAAGAACCGTCTTTTTTAAAAGTGTTGTTAACTACGTTATTTTCTAAGTACGTAACTACAGGAAACAGTAACGTATATCAGAGTGAGGAAGGGCTCAGAGGGTTAATCAGGGCCACCTCGCCTCTCCAGGCTCTGAGAGTATGTGGTGTTTTAAAGCCCTCTAAAAGGCGGAGACTGGCTGAGAGCCGAATGTCCTGTCCATTCAGAGTCCACTCACTCTGCCTTTGAACCAGTGAAAAGCCTCAGGCCAATAAAGACAACACTTCAATCACAGTCCAGCTCACTCAAAGAGAAAGACCATCCTAGCCCATCAGGAAAGACTCTCAGAGTCAATCATGCTGTAATTATAGTGGAGTGGAGGGAGAGGGCCTGGGGTCAGCTTTGGGTCAGACGGCTATTTACTGGTGGCCTGAAAAATCAGCCGAGACTGCAGCTGTACTGCTAGCAACAACGGCGTTAGCAACAACCTTTCAGGTTTTTCTAGAGTCATTCAAAACAATCTTAAAATGTTTCAGAGACATTAGCAATGACAGAGGCGTTAGCAACAGCTTTTAAAGATATTCTAGAGAGACTGGCAAGAAAGGATTGTTAACTATGATCTTTCAAGCTTTTCTAGTTGTGTTAGTATCAGTCTTTAAAAATTTTCTAGCAAAAACAGAGGCATTAGCAAAAACCTTTAAATGTTAGCAGTGATTTTTAAAGCTTTTCTTGAGGTGTTAGCAACTGATTACTAGAAGGAAAAGCTTTTCTGGAGACAAAAGAGGAGTTAAAAACAATCTTCAAAGATTTTCTAGAGACATTAGCAACAACAGAGGCTTTAGCCAAACATTTCAACTTTTTATAATGTACAGAAAAGATCTATACATGTCAGTATCTTTCAAATCAGGCCTCAGACACCACACTGAGCATTTATTTGTGTTATAATGGTTGTTATTGTGTGAGACATTTTGGTGAATATATTGTGTTACTGTGTGTGAAACTTTCCTGCATAAAAAAAAAAAAAATCAGTGAATTTTTTTTTCTTTCAGTTTCTGTTTTAATGTTTCACACTGAATATTTGTGTTTAATAACTTGCTGACCCTCATTTCAATCAAAATTCAATCAAAATAAATAAAAATGAGGACAACTGTCCACAGCACATGGCTAAAGAAACTGTTGTTTTTGGAGAAATTTTAAAACAGGATGCAAGAACTGAAAGATCATAGGTGAAGTGATAAAATGTGAGGAGAAGAAAAGGATGAGAAGGAGAAGACAGGAGAAAGCAGGGAGGTAAATGAGAGGAGAACGTCACCGTATACTGTAAGAAGAAGCTGTAAACATCAGGAACAAAATGAGGACCAATAAAACTCCAGTGATCCCAGGAACTGACAGTGTGGGGACACAAACATCAATTAATCATTAATCATTAAGCAGATCAATCAGCCGGAGCTCCCTCAGCACCGCGAGTGTTTCTGCATGGCTGTTAATGCACTGTGTGGAATCTGATTGATTGATTGATTATCGATGTAATTCCCCAGATTCCCGCAGACATGTCTGACTGAAGACTCTCAGTATGAAGGTAACAGAAACAGCTCGCCGCTCGGCCCGGTCCGTCAGCAGGGTCAGTTGAGGAGGATCAGAACCAGACTGGGTCACTGAGGGAGCTCCAGCTCCAGCCAATCACAGAGGAACTTTCACTGCACACTGCAGATTCACACTGGATTAAAATCAGATACTTAATCTCAGATCAGGAAACAGCTGCTGGACTCACCTGTGGTCAGGATGAGAACACGGGGATCCTGAAAAACACACAGTGAGTCTTTAATGTCTGTCCAGTTCAGGATGAAACGGAACTAACTGAAAATCAGACTGTTTCAGAGTAAAGCTGAACACTGCGTATGTGAGAGCTGTGTGTTACTGTGTGTGTTACTTTGTGTGTATGTGTTTTTGTGTGTGTGTGTGTGTTTTAGTGTGTGTGTGTGTTTTACTGTGTTAGCGTGTGTGTGTGTGTGTTTTTGTGTGTGTGTGTGTGTTTTAGTGTGTTAGTGCGTGTGTGTTTTTGTGTGTGTGTGCGTGTGTTTTAGTGTGTTAGTGCGTGTGTGTGTGTGTGTGTATACCTGTCCCTGGTGTTGTGCTAAGTTCAGGGCGGGGAAATCGTCTGAGTACCTGACTGAAAATCTGACAGCATTGACCAGGTGAGCACTGACATGAACAACTGCACACACACACACACACACACACAGAGACACACACACACACAGAGAGAGAGAGACACACACACACACACAGAGACACACACACACACACAGAGAGAGAGAGACACACACACACACACAGAGACACACACACACACACACACACACATTAATTATTAATAATTCACAGTGCACAGATGCACTTCACACACAGAGCCGTGAGGACTGTGTATGAGTGTAAGTATTGATTATGTATTAATAATCATAAACTGATCAATTTAAAGGGAAACTGCGATGTGAGAAAGTATTCAGACCCCAGACTAACAGCGTCAATGCTGACATGAAGCTGAAGGCTGAGCTCTGAGACCCAGCTCACTTTCTGCAGCATTACTTTGGTGTTTCCTCCCCCCTCCTCTGCCTCCTCCTCCTCACCCCCCCTCCCGCTTCCCCCTTCCTCCTCCCAACCCCAGAGCAGTGTGACTGTATGCTGACTGTATGCTGTAAGAATGTAGACTTACAGAGCAGAGCTGTCTGATCCAACAGCTGATAAGGTCTCTTTCTCGCTCTCTCTCTGTTTCTCTTTCTCTCTCCCTCTCTCTCTCTCTCTCTTTCTCTCTTTCAGACCCCCCCCCGCCTCTCTGGGTCACTCTCTCTCTCTCTCTCTCTCTCTCTTTCTCTCTTTCAGACTCGCCTCTCTGGGTCACTCTCTCTCTCTCTCTCTCTCTCTCTCTCTCTGTGTCTCTCTCTGTTCTCTCTCTCTCTCTCTCTCTCTCTGGGGGCTGTATTGTGTTTATGGTGTTGTTTATTGGCTGTGTGCTATGTTGTTGCTGTGGTAACAGGATGTCTCTGAACTAAGCGCTCTGTAATTAGAACAAGACCTCAATGTCCTGAGACAGGAAGTAATGACGGGACGGGAGGGGGGGGGGCAACCCTGTATCACTTAACGCTGGGGTCTCCCTCTACACACACACACACACACACACACACTCACACCTGTCAGCTGGAAAAATGCAGCTGTACTTTTAGCCTGAATTAACCCTCATTACTTAATTACAGTGTTAAACTCTTAATATTCAGTATCTACCATGAATTATTCAGTATCTACTATGAAGTAGTGTGTAGTTTGTAGTAGGTGCGCTGTAGTTTCATGCGCAGATTGTAGTAAGTATGCTGTAGGGCAATGTATATTTTATTGTAGGTATGCTGTACTTTGATGTGTAGTTTATTGTAGATACACTGCAGTTAGATGTGTAGTTTGTAGTAAGTATTCTGTGGTTTCATGTGTAGTTTGTTGTAGATGCACTGTAGTTTGATTTAGCTCTGGTAGTTTGATATTTCCTGGCTGGTTATCGCTCATATCAATAATATTTATTGACTGTTGGAGACAGAGGTAATCAGCTGTGGTTAGTTTTTGGTCAATATGGTTAATATTATGATATTGATCCAGTTATGAACCATGAGTTACTGACCTGAGAGGATGCAGATGGCCACTCCGCAGGCCATGTGGAAGGTTTTACTCTTATCCAACAACCGCCGAGCTTTTCTACTGTTCACCTGAAACAACAGCATCTCATTAATGTCCTTTTTTCTCCAATATCCTCCTGAGTTTGTTCTTAAACGTGTTCTTGAGAAAGGTCCTAAAAAAGTGTATGTCAGATTCATGACATGTTCTTTTACATTTCGGGTTATTCATTTGTCACTGTGATTGTGTTTGATATGAATATAATAAACAGAATTCTCAAATTCACAGCCTTATTTTTACATTTGGTGTTATTTTAACATTCACTCTTACCCGCTGTGTTCCTCTCAGTGCGGTCAGTACAGATCTGCACATGGGCAGCAGCACCAGGCTGCAGTTCAGGTTCAGAACGGACGCTGACGCTCGGCTGATGCACAGTCCTAGCTGGACAAACACACAGAGGGGTTAGATCTGCAGATATTGATCTTCAGTAAAACACAGAAAACATGGAGAGACTCTTTCAGTTATTCTGCTTCTAAACTGTGGAGCTCAGTTCAGCTTTTATTAGACAATCGAGCTCAGAGCTCACTTTTAATAAACATCTGAAAACGCAGCTCTTTAACTCAGCGCTTCAGTAAAACTCTATGGCTCTTTGGTCTTTATCTTGTGTTATCGTCTTATATGATTTTACTTTAATACATTATTATTATTATCACCCCCTACAGGCCTGGAGGACACCTGGTACAAAATGCTCAAACACTGAAATACTCAAAGCAGAACATCACCATCACATTCAGTACCTCATCACTGTCGGAGCAGGATGTCACTGTTCAGGAGAAACATCCTGATACTTGTAATGGAATTTAATATAAAAAGATTTTTCCAAGTACTTTTGTAATTTTTTTGTAGTACAACCCCATTTCCAAAAAAGTTGGGACGCTGTGAAAAATGTAAATAAAAACAAAATGCAATGATGTGCAAAACATTTAAACCCTATATTTAATTGAAAATTTTGTTGTTTTTTGAAAAATATTTGCATTTTGAATTTGATGCCAGCAACACGTTCCAAAAAAGTTCAGACGGGGGCAACAAAAGGCTGGTAAAGTTGTGTAATGCTAAACAAACACCTGGTGTTTAATTGGCAACAGGTCAGTAACATGAAAGGGTATAAAAGAACATCTCAGAGAGGCTTTCAGAAGTAAAGATGAGGAGGGGTTCACCACTCTGTGAAAGACTGCACCATCAAATAGTTTCTAGATCAGGATCCAGAAACGCAGCCACCTTCTCTGGGCCTGAGCTCATTTAAAATGGACTGAGGGGAAGTGGAAAAGTGTCCTCTGGTCCGACGAATCAACATTTGAAATTCTTTTTGGAAATCATGGACACTGTGTCCTCCGGCTGAAGACCACTCAGTTTGTTATCAGTGCACAGTTCAAAAGCCAGTGTTCATGATGGTATGGGGGGCATTAGTGCACGTGACATGGGTGACGTGCACATCTGTGAAGGCACCATTAATGCTGAACGATATATACATGTTTTGGCAACATATGCTGCCATCCAGACAACGTCTTTTTCAGGGAAGGCCTTGATTATTTCAGCAAGACAATGTCAAACCACATTCTCCATGTATTACGGCAGCATTGCTCCGTATTAAGAGTCTGGGTGCTGAACTGATCTGTCTGCAGTCCAGATCTGTCCCTAGTGATATCATTTGGCACATTATGAAACGAAAAATATGACAAAGGAGACCCTGAACTGTTGATCAGCTGAAATCCTGTATCAAACAAGAACAGAAAACATTTCTCTTTCAAATCTACAGCAGTGTCTCCTCAGTTCCCAAATGCTTACAGTGTGTTGTTAAAGAAGAGGTGATGAAACACAGTGGTAAACAGGCCCCCGTCCCAACTTTTTTGGAATGTGTTGTCGGCATCAATTTCAAAATGAGCATATATTTTTCAAAGAACAATAAAATTTCTCAATGTCAACATTTGATTTGTTGTCTTTGTAGTATTTCCATTGAATATAGGGTTTAAATGATTTGCACATCATGGAATTTTGTTTTTATTTGATTTGTTTTTATGTTTTTTATTTTATTTTGCACAGCGTCCCAAATTTTTGGAAATGCGGTTGTAAATTCAATTATCATGAGTTTACTCATTACTCAAATCCCCCCCCACCCCCGCCCCCCTGCCAGACTATGAGCCCTATCAAACAGTGCCCCCCCTCCCAGCCTTGGGGGGTCAGAGGTCTGACTGGGGGGTCCTAGTCTGTTGGTTATTAATGAGTAAACTGGGGAGGAACTGAGTAAAAATCCATGAAACAATGTTAGCGATTTCAGATTACACTTTCATGTTGTTTTTTTTAAGTGAGCTCAACATAAACTGAAAAGCAGTATTAAAAGTTTTCCTCTTCTCAAAAGGAGAAATCTTGAGTAAAAACAAAAAGCTTACATGATTTTTATTTTTTATAGTGATTTTTCATCCTTTTTAATTCTCTTTATTTTTGCATATTCACCAGATTGGATTTTTTGTGACTGTACAGCATTTAGAGTGTCTGTATTTTACATTTTCATAAGGTAGAGTAAGATGAATTTGACAGTAAATACTGTTTAACCCATCAGCTTCATGTTTGGTGCATTTGTTAAATGAACTGTGCTCTTCTAAAGTTTCATTTATGCTGCTGTGTTGAATCAAAGCAGAATCTATGCCGTCGCCCAGGCCACTGTGAGTGTTTACACTTGTGTGTTGGTGTGTTTGTGTTTACACCAAATGTTCTTTCTGAATACATCTTTGTGAAATTTTTACAATCAGATACGAGTCTTCATCCTCTAAACAGATCTAAACAGCAGCTGGAACCAAGTCTGTACTGCTTGTACTTCGTCCAAATCTCAACTGAATTTAAAATGGCGGTGAAGAACGGAAACTTGAAAATGCGTAGGAGGAAATGTGATGATACCAAGTGGACCAGTCACAACTGCTGTGATCTGCGTCGGCGCGTCGTGTAGTTACATTCCTGGGGGTGTGCATTGGGCTATAGTGTAGATTCGACAAAGAAGCATAAACTGGCCTTTAGTGTTAGAAATATTGTGTTAAGCACTTCTCAGACAAGAGAAATATGCATGTAAACTTAGATAAGATACCAATTTTCATTTGAATAGATTCTAAATGAGAAACTATTATTGCTATTACCAAAGTGTAATGACATATGAATAAATATTAAACCTTTCATAGATCTGATGTACATTAGTAAGACATAGAGAGCTAAAATTCTTAATTTTAAGGTAAACATTGAGGCCAAGAAATTGATGAGGATAAAAGGCTATTGTTAGATTGCGTTCACTCTGTACTGGACACTACTGTGTTACTTCATCTTTACTGTCCCTGTGAGATAAGATTACACAAGTCTGAGATGGTCAATCAGGAGCATTTCCATAAAACCGGGGCTTTGATTGAGACGGTAAAGCATCACAAGGTCACCACACCTCCATGTTTGAGTGCTACAGTGATGTTCTTACTCTGGAATGCTGTTTGCTTCACACCAGACATAACGAAACTAAAGGTTCACTTCTGACTCATCTGCCCTCCGTCGCACGCTCTCCTGGCATCATCTGCATCTTTCCAGATCAGATACACATCTGTTCAGCCGTCCAAAGACTTTTCTAAGATCTTTGAGTAAAATCATCAGAACACCCAAAGAACCACATGCCAAAAAGCTTGAAGTTTTCTGGGTGTTCCATCTGACTCTTGAGGTGGTGTGACTCAGAGAAATTCCTCAGAATGTTCACTATTGTTCTCGAATTGGACACTCTGAGGTTCTTGTCCCAGAACAAATACGGCTTTGTATCCTCTCCAGATTTGAACAGTGGTTTCTTCAGGAAATCCTTTGTCCACGGCGTAATCAGCCTGCTGAATGTTTGTCCTGGAAGCAGGACTGACCAGCTGTGTTCAGTCTGCTGACTCTGACTGTCCATCTAATTAGGCTAATTTAACTGGGCAATTAATTAATTCCCTCAGAACAGTGGAGGGTAAGGAGACCTGGATGGGGACCTGACTGAGAAATTAAAGCAACTGTAGCTGCACTCTTAAAAAGATGGCTCTTTAAGGGTTCTTTAGTAAAGACAGTGGAACCATTTGCATGCTTAACAGGTTCTCTGCATTTTTCAGATTGATGGAATATGTGTTTATGGTTCTATGTATTACCAAAAAGGGTTCTTCTATTTTGTACAAGCTTGACATCGTAACAATCGCAGAACCCTTCTGGTGCCATATGAAACATTTTCAAAAGGTTCTCTATAGAACCATATATAACACACTCTCTATTAATCTGAGAAACCATTTCACCATGCAAAGAACCATTCAAGCATGCAAATGGTTCTTACAAAGTTCATGGTTCATCTTTTTAAGAATGTAGGCTAACTGCTCTAGCTGATGTTAGCTAGAACCAAAAAGATCCTTATTTGTTCTCTGTTATGCTTCCATTGACTGTCTGCACAAATTGCAAACAATAAAATTAAAATGTATAAAATACTGATAAAATAGATTTTTGCCACCCAGCAGCTCATTTTAATCAGAATTTTAGTGATAAAAATGCTTCCGACAAAAACATCATTTCCTGATAAAGCTGTTGTCAGTTGTTCCGTCTGGAATTTTGTGTATGTTGAAGCTTCTGTATATTTGGCTTCCTCAACTTTCCCAAAACCTGCTGATGACTATATAATTATTATTTATTTTATAATTATTTTTCTTCATTTCTTTGCCCTGTAGAGTCATTTAGAAAGTGTGGTGTTTTCACTCTGTAAGAGCTTTTAGAGACGCTCTTGTGTCCTCAGTGCAGCTCTGTCTCTCCACCTCGCTGTCTGGGTTCGTTAAAAGCCGAAATCTGTCATTTCCGATATCAGTAAACACTTTACCCTCTAAAGTTGAACAGAAAAAGTTTGTCAACATTCATAAAACATTACTGACAATTTCTGCTTCCAAAGTCTTCATCAGCAAACTTTTAGGAGAAAAATTTCTTTGGATGGAAACGCAGCTTCTGTCACCTCAACAAAGGAACATTTTCTCTTCATCCTCTGAGGAGAAGAAGCTCCTGTAAAAGTCCACGAGTCTCAGCATCTACTGCTGCACTGGTTAGCTTTAGTGTTAGTGTTAGCATTATCTCGTTAGCTCACAGGAGCCTCTGTTATTTGAGCACAGTGAGCAAAACTTTTCACAGCGACGAAAGATAAAATCACACTGGTGCAAATGTAAGGGGTGGGTGTGTGCGTGTGTGTGTGTGTGGGGGGTGTCCCCTCCACTTTTTAAAATTTTGGGTGGATCATTTTAAGGGTCGTGAGATGGTCGTTAAAAGAGGAACAAAGCTGATTTGCTAAAGAGCCGCCAGATATAATAATTATCAATTATTATCAATTATCATACAGCAGCTATAATACTAGAGTTTAACAGAACATCTGATCAGATTTAGCACCTCAGCTCAGCTCATCTTTAATACTGAGGCTGGGTTCAGTACAGGACTAAGATTAAGAGTATTATTAGGTTCAGGAATTAATATTAAGTTTTTTATTAGGTTCAGGGATTAAGTGTGTTATTAAATTCAGGGATTAAGATTGGTGTTTGGTTCAAGGATTGAGATGAAGTTTATTATGAGGGTTAAGGATTAAGTGTTATTAAGTTTAGGGAATAAAACTAAGTTTGTTATTAGATTCAGGGAATAAGATTAAGTTTGTTATTAGGTTCAGGGAATAAGACTAAGTTCATTATTACGATCAGGGAATAAGACTAAGTTTGTTATTAGGTTCAGGGAATAAGACTAAGTTCATTATTAGGTTCAGGGAATAAGACCAAGTTTGTTATTAGGTTCAGGGAATAAGACTAAGTTCATTATTAGGTTCAGGGAATAAGACCAAGTTTGTTATTAGGTTCAGGGAATAAGACTAAGTTTGTTATTAGATTCAGGGAATAAGATTAAGTTTGTTATTAGGTTCAGGGAATAAGACTAAGTTCATTATTAGGTTCAGGTTTAGGGCTGAGTACTATAGTTTGCTGGACAGAGATTGAAAATAAGAACTAAATTATTCAGAATAAAACCAGCATATCTGTGTGTTGTGTGTGTGTGTGTGAGAGAGAGAGAGAGAGAGAGAGAGAGAGAGAGAGAGAGACACACACACACACTGTCTGATCTCTGCGTTCCTTTAGAAATAGCCGACGTGTCGTCACACGCCTGAAGCTGCAGGAACTCAGCAGCTCAGCGGACTTTCAGTTCCTCAAAGAATCTGCAGGCACACCTCCAAAGTTCAGTCTTGGTTCAGCTGGTTGATGATTTTCTGAAGTAATCAAACACATTCAGTGGTGTTGAGGTCTGGACTCTGGGGTGGTCAGTCCATCGTTCAGCTTCTTTGTTTGATGTGTCCGTCTCCTTTTCTCAGTAAGTTTCTTCTTGATCAGCTGCACATCCTTTCAGACCCATAGCGCTGAGTCGTCTTCTCACAGTGGAAGGATGGACAGAAACACCTGTGGATGTTTTCAGATCTGAAGCAGCTTGATTTTCTCCTCTCTCTCTCAGAGATGAAAGCTTTAAGTGCTGTTTATCTGATGGGGGAAGTTTCTAATGTCCATATTAACATCGAGTTCTGGGATGTTTACAGGTGAATGGAAGTGTTTAGCGACCCCAGAGTGTTTTAACTAAACAGTTATTAAATAATAATAATAGAACCCAAACACTAAAATAATTAGAGCACAGTGGCCTGTGTGTGTCTGTTTTAGGGAGGAGTTTGTATCTTTATGTGGCACAAACCAAATTCATAGATTATCTTTATTTTACCACACATCAACAATCTGATTGGTCGCTGCTCAGCTCATTTGCGTAAACTTAGGTTTTAGAGAAGGTGAGCGTTCGATGTATCAGTTATGGTGTCATCTCTCTCCACATTACAGCACACTATGAAGATTCTGTTTGATCCAAACATATCTGTTTGTTTTTTCAGAGTAATTTTGAAGCTGTTTTATTGGTCTGTTCATCATGAAACACAGTGTAAACAGCCACCGCTGCTTTCAAATGGAGAGAAACAAAAACAGATAATGACAAAAAATGGTGCAAGATTTTCTCTGATATGCTTGACATTTTTTAACTTAAAGAGGAATAAAACTGCTTCACGTTCTGAATAACCAAACGGTTAAGATGTAAACAGGGTGGTTCAGAGTGGTTTGGTGTGAAATGTGTTGTAGTCATGGCGACCCCTGGTTCCTATGACCACCACTGTGAGTGTGTATAACATTAGATTCAAACTCGTGACAATAATTATTGCGTTTGTGTGGGTGAACTGTCTCCAGACTGACCGTACCATACCGTACTACAACACTCGCTGCAACAAACACTTTCTCCACTCTTAATGTGATAGTTGAGCAAAACATCATATTCCTCTGTTTTTCACCAAACTATCACTTTAACAGTGGGTCGGACAGCAAATAAGGTCATTACTAAGACCTTCAGAGCCTGAAGTGAGAAAGCAGAGGAGCCGAGGAACGTTCTGACGTACAGACGAGTCTAGAAGGTTAATGAGTTCTTACCCCCAGCATCTGGTGGAGGTAGTAGTACTGCGGCCCACTGGAGTACAGCGAGAACGTTCTCCAGAAGAGCCAAACGCTGATGGCCAACCACAACACCTGCACACCAGACCACACAGACACAACATTTACAATCAACATCTTCACACCGAGACATCTCAGCTGGAGGAGGGCAGTGTGACGGGATCTGTTTGTTTTTGGGATAAATTACGCCCCAGTATACTTTTCTTAGTTTACCATGGATATCATGAGTATTTTAAATGGTTATTCTGGCCTGAATTTAGCATTTAATAAGTTATTTGTGATGTTGTGCAGCTTTTTCTGTAGCTCAGCTTTGTCAGTTTAGCAGAATTAATGATTTAACATTGTTTGTGTTTTCATTCATCAGTGTTCTCTCACTACAATACCCAGCATGCACCACACAAATCATACAGTCCCTGTGGTGTCACCTAATCCGGACCAATAGCCTAGTCATTGAGCTACAGCTTTGGTGTTCTTAACTAACTAGAGCTGCAGCACTGCTCTGCCTCAGGGTGGCGCTGTAGCAGACTGGTTCACCCAGTTGGTCCTTCATAGCCTAGAAACTGTAACTCTGCCAGGATTTCTCTGAAAAACTTTACAATGAGCTGCAGCAGATCTATAAATCTGAAAACTCGCAGCCAATACCAGGGGGCTTTTTTTTCAAATTTTCGTCCCACTTTCACAATGCATCATCCATTCATTCATACATACACACACTGACTGTATATATGATATATATGACAAACACTCATTGACTGTATATCTGATGTATGATATATATATATATACACACTCACTTACTGTAATTGATTTATATGATATATATGATAAATCCACTCACTGACTGTAATTGATATATTGATTAACCACACATTAATGATTAATCTAGATTAATAGGTTAAGAGCACAAATTAATTTTATTAACTGTGATTAATAAACTGTGAACTACAAAAACATAATCAACTCTGATTCATAGTTTTAATTGGTTACCAAGGACAGTGTGATTACATCACACACACACACACACACAAACAGACACACACACACACACACACACACACACAACCACACACACACACAGTGCTCTATGTTAATAAAGTGTTAATAAAGTCGTACCAGAACGCAGTGTTTGGCTGCCTCGTTCGCCACCCAGCTCCTCAGCACCAGCCCCATGACCACTTCCAGAGAGAGAGAGAGAGAGAGAGAGAGACAGTGAGAGAGAGAGAAACAGAGACACACAGAGAGAGAGAGAGTCTACACTCCGATCTCTGTCCGGGTGAACGAGCTGCTTAGCACAAGTTTCTTACAAACTTGCCAGAAAGCAGCGCCAGAGTGTGCGTTTCTGTTTCATGCCGCAGTGTGGAGGAGGAGTGTGTGTGTGTGTGTGTGTGTGTGTGAAGGGGGAGGGAGGGTGTTGGGGGGGGTTTGGGAGGGGGAATGTGGGGTGAGGTGGGGGGGAGGTGGAGTAGAGCAGCTGGTGGAAACAGAACTCCAGCAGCCCAACCTGTAAGTTTTACACTCTCATAACAGAAATAACGAATTAGCACCATCTAGTGACAAATACACTACAGTACAGCCCCCATATCTCTCTTTCTCTCTTACCTCTTACTTTTCATATTTATTTCATCTCTCTGTTTTCTTCCCTCTTTTCTTTCCTTCTCTATCGTTCTTTTATCTGTCTCTCTGCATATATACTCTGTTTGTTTTATCAATCTAGCTAATCTGTCTCTCAGTCTATATATATATATATATATATATATATATATATATATATATAGATAGATAGATAGATAGATAGATATAGATAGATAGATAGATAGATAATCTATCCCACATGACTGGGTATAAAAAGAGCATTTTATTGAGGCAGAGCCTCTCAGAAGCAGAGGTTTACCAAACTGAGAAAAACTGCATCTAAAAATTGTGGAAAATGTTTTGAAAAATGCTCCTCAACATAAAATTGCAAAGACTTTGGGTATCCCACCATCTACAGTACATAATATCATCAAAAGATTCAGAGAATCTGGAGAAATCCCTGTACGCAAGGGACGAAGCCGACGGTCAGTATTGGATGCTTGTGGTCTTCGGGCCTTCAGGTGGAAACGCCGCTGTCTTCTCTGGGCCAAAGCTCATTTAAAATAGACTGAGGCAAAATGGAAAACTGTTCTGTGCTCAGATGAATCAAAATTTGAAATTTGTTTTAGAAACCACAGAAGTCGTGTTCTGCGGACTCAAGAGGAGAGGGACCATCCAGCTTGTTATCAGCGCACAGTTCAAAAGCCTGCATCTCTGATGGTCTGGGGCTGCATTAGTGCCTATGGTGTGGGCAGCTCTGTCAGTGCTGAACAGTTCTGAACAGGTTTCAGAACATCATATGCTCTCATCTAGATAACGTCTCTTTCAGGGAAGCCCTTGCATATCTCAGCAAGATAATACTAAACCACATACTGCATCCATCACAGCAGCATGGCTTCGCAGAAGAAGAGTCCGGGTGCTGAACTGGCCGCCTGCAGTCCAGACCTTTCACCAATAGAGAACATTTGGTGCATCATGAAACTCCAGCAACTGGTCTTCTCACTTCCCAGACGTTTACAGACTGTCGTTAAAAGAAGAGGGGATGCTACACAACGGTAGACTTGTCCCTGTCCCAACTTTTTGAGATGCGTTGCTGCCATCAAGTTCTAAATCAGTTAATGTTTTTCATGAAATGTCTCGCTTTCAACATCTGATATGTGTTCTGTGTTCTTTTGTGAATAAAATATGGGTCTATGAGGTTTGCAAATCCTTACATTCTGTTTTTATTTACATTTATTTACATCATACACCGCGTCCCAACTTTTTTGGAATTGAGGTTGTATATATATATATATATATATATATATATACACAATCTCTATTTATTCCTTATCTCTCTCCTGAGAAAGGGGCCTGAAAAACATCACATCATCCATTTTTGTTTAATCGGGGAGAAAAAGAAAAATACAGAAATGTAATAATATGTAAAATAACTGAATGCATTCCCACCAGCAGTAAAATGAACCAGCACTCACCTGGAAGTAGACTGAGACTTGCGGTTTTGCCAGACCAGAATTCTGACACACATGTATACAATAGATTAATGCTGAATAATATTTGATAGTTTATATATTTTAGCATCAGGTACTTAAAAAAACTGCTCTCCCACTATATGAGGGTCACCAGCATAAACTAGGTAGGCTACAAATTGATGACAAGGGACTGAAGTGCAGAGCTGTGCTGGACAGAGTCAAAATAAAGATACAAATGAACAAGCTTGCTGAGGACCAGGGAGTACGGCAGCTCAGGGAAAAGAAAAAACTTAATAAAGAAAAGGCCCAGGGTACAGTCCTGAGCAGGATTTGAACTGCCAATTGAACTGTCACTAGAATGAATTTCCCAACACAAAGGAAAGGGTGGGAAAAGGTAAGAAAAGAAGAAGCAAGGATGCCGAGACAAATTATCCCTGCCGTGGAAAGTGACTGATTGAGAGGAAGATCTGTGTAGTTTCTCTCAGTAGATGTATGTGTAATGTATAAAATATACCTGTGTAATATATCTTTTTTTTTTCTGGCCTCCTGCTCTGGGAACATGGAGGGAGCATGCCCAAACTGGTACCTGAAAAGAGACGTTCCTTGCAACCTGTACCATAAAGTGTTGTGGGCAAACTCTGCCCAGAGCATGTGATTGCCACCCACACGGGTCAGGCTCTCTTTGGAGTGCATCTTGTATCACAGTCTCCAATGTAAAGAAGCCATGATCTGTGCCCCAGGAATTGTCAATTCTGTGTTCTGAAGACTGAGGATCCCACTGCCAGCGCATCAGGTTTGGTGTTCTTTGAACCTGTGAAAGTGCCCACCTGGCCTGGCAGGGTTTAAGATGCTTGGCCTGTTGGATGCATGCCAAGTTCTTGTGGTCAGTCCTGACCAGAAATTGGTGGTTGGCCCCCTCCAGCTCATGCCTCCATTCCTCCAAGGTCAGCTTCACCACCAAGAGCTCTTGGTCCCTAACATCATAATTTTGCTCTGCAGTGGTAATGTGAGAAGAAGGTGCAAGTGTGCAGTCTTCTATCAGGGTCAGAGCACTGGGTCAGAACAGCCCCTATGCCCCTACACCAACACTAAGAATGGGAGTTCAGGGTCAGGAAGCTATAGGACAAAAATCTGTGGACAAGTGGTGCTTCCCTTAAAAACTTTCTGGGCTTGAGCCTTCCATAGGAACCACCCTGTGGATGTCTTACTGACAGTGGTTAATGGGGCAGGCAAGGTGCTAAAGTTGTTGATAAAATGCCACAAAGTTAGCAAAACCCAGAAAGCGCTGCACCAAGGGGAGAGATTTAGGCCATGGCCAGTCCACAACCGCCCTAACCTTGGCTGGATCCATGCTCAGTTGGCCCTTGGAGACCACAAACCCAAGGAAGGTGACCGAAGGACCATGGAAAAGGGACTTCTCTAGCTTCATCTAGAGATGATTCTCTAGGAGCAGCTGGAGGACCCTTCTGATGTGAGCTATGTGTTGGTCCAAGGAATGGCTACAGATGAGGATGTCATCAAGATAGATGAACACGAGCCTAGGGCTTCTCTCAAGACCTCATTAATGTAACGTTGGAAGATGGCCGGGGCATTCATCAGTCCAAAAGGCATGACCAAGTACTCATTCTTCCATTCATCACCGTGTCTGACTCGGATGAGGTTGTAGGCGCTTAGCAGGTCCAGCTTCGTAAAAACTGAGGCCTGCTGCATTGCCTCAAAGACTAAGGTCCTGAGAGGCAGGGAATCTTGTTGAGACCCCGGTAGTCAATGCAGGGACAAAGACCCCCATCCTTCTTCCCCACAAACTTGCACTTGCTGGAAAGGTAGAGGGCCATACGAAGCCCAAGGCTAAAGCTCCTGGATGTAGTGCTCAATAGCCTTCCACTCCACATGATAATATTCTGCCCCAATTCTGACTACTACCTGGGAGGAGGTCAATGGCACAATTGTATGGTCGATGGACAGGGAGGAGATAGGCCTTCTGTTTACTAAAGACCTCCCAGGGGTCCAAGTACCCGAGAGAATGCTGATATAAAGTTTCCAATAGCAGACGCCATTTCAGTCTAATCTTATACAGTCTTTGATTGTGTCTTATTCAGCCTCACAGTCTCACCTTCAAGGGTTACAATTCTGTCAAGTGTAAGAATCCAAAATCTCTGTAAATTAAATTAGGAGTCAACCAAAATTGAATAATTGACTTTTTTAGCTGCAGTGAAACCAGAGAATAACTAATAAATTAGATTTAACATTTTCATTAAAGAAGAGTTAACAAGTTTCCAAAAGTCTGAAATAGGCTCACATTCCCAGAACAGGTGTAGAAAAGTGCCAGTGCAGAAGTGAGTCCAGAACAGAACTGACAGCTGTAATTGGGAATCAGGCCCGATTTGTAATGTCTGTAAGGTGTATAATAATATGTGAATTGCTTTATATTGGATTAACTAATGAGCTGATGTTTTAGAAGTGGGTTCAGTCACACCAGATACTCGTCCAGTTTGGGCTGAGACCAGAAGGTTCACACTTTTTACCTCATATATAAAGAACATGCAGAGGTCTTTGGAATATGTTTATAAAATCATAATAAATTTTAGACACTGTTCTTTGAGATTTCGTTTTTGGTTCGGGATGGTCTGTCAAATTATAATTGTTCCAGATTCTACAAGGTTCTGCCTTGTGGATTTTATGCAAGATGCCCCTATAACTTTCCAACGTTCTCCACACTTTTACTGAGTTAAATATTATATCTCCAAATGTTCAGGCAGAACCTTTGTGGTTTGTTCCCATAAACAGAAGATCTTGAAGTGTATGAGGTCTAACTAGAAAGGCCTCAATAGAGCACCATGAAGGTTTAACATCCTGATTGGTCCAGGTACGAATTGCCTGTAATTGAAAGGCCCAGTAGGACAATTTAAGGTCAGAAATAACAAAACAAAACTGCTGACTGCCTGACTCTCTGTAGTGTTTTAGATGAATTCCTGTTTTCTTTGCCTGCCCCATAGTAAAGAATGAACCCTATCAAAATGATCTGCTAGGAAGGTGGAGGAAACAGGGAGCATAAAAAAAATAAATAGATGTAATATATTAATCTCCACAGTAGATATTCGACCCTACAGAGAGATCTTTCCAGTTCAAGTTTAATATTAGATATGATGCTTTTAGAATTATTCTTTATAATTTTAGACATCAATGGGTGAATTTTCATGCCAAAGTAAGTGAAATTGTCACTCATTGTCACTTCAGATGGGTAGTGGATGTTTCTAGTTTAAATTTAAGAGGCATAAGTGTAGATTTTGCCAATTAATTTTATACTCAGAGATGTCATTAAATGTTTTGAAGAGGCTCA